AAAACTTTAAATAAGTCAGCTTTAAATAAGCCCTAACTTCAGTAAACTGGCTCAAGCTAGCCAAGCCATTTCCAGCCTTTGGAAGAGGCAACCACCTTTTGACTCATCTGCCTTGGTGCAGATTCCTGAGGCAGCAACAACCTGGGGGAGGGCTGAGAAATGGCTGTGATGGCCAGCTTCAAGGGTGAACTCTCCAGCCTGGAGGAAAGGGTTTGTTGCTAGCAAATCCAGCAGGCAGCAGTTCTCTAGGCACTGTAAGAATTTTTCATGTGCTCCCTCCTAGTCCCCTGTCCTCAAGAAACTGAGATCTTGTGAGCTGTTAAAGGCACTGGCATTCCCATTAACTAGTTTAAGCTCATAAGGTGCAACACCATTGGAAATCTTCACAACAGTCATACCAAAAAAGCATCAGTAACTCCAGCTACTGCAATACTATTACACTTTTTGATGATAGTTCATATAATTTTGCAGGCTTGTGGGAAGGAGGTAAAAAAAACTCTCTTCCCTCCTTTACCCCTTCAGCTTTTTAGAGAGTCCAAGTGCGGGGCCAGGACTAACCCTAGGGAGTGGCATTTCATCGTACAGCCTCTGGTATAAACCGATACTAATATCTCTTTCTTCTTCACTGCTTGAACAATTATGGTGTTTGCTAATACTGCAAACATTTAGACTGTGATGCTAGGATGGTATCAGAATACTACTATTACTAGTGACAGCACTCGCAAAAACCACAGCTATTCTTATTTCACATGCATGACAGAAATAATCTGCCATTTTTTCTTCTTTAATTAAGCATTTCACAACCTCTTCTGAACTACGCTTCTCACCACAGTCTGAGAAACACTGACCCACAGTTCTTTCCAAGTGCTGCATTGCACTGTATTAACACGAAACTGCCAATTGACAGTGTTCCTGCAAATTTTGGCCACTGTACCAGATTTGAAAAGGAAAACATAGTTTTATTTTTTTTTATTTTTTATTTTTTTACCAACATAAAGATCCACATCAATTAACTTACTCTACGCTAAATGATCTGGTAGAAAAGAAAATGTGGAGGAAGAGATTATACAACCAAGTTTGTCCACAAACTGTTCCTTCAGGCAGGAACAGTGTTTACCTCCAACAGTCAGGAAGTTTATCCCCGAGTTCAGAGCAATCTGTTTGTAGTACACAGTGATACCACACAGGCACAAGTGGATTTGAATGGGATGGGCTAAAACTGTTACTGCCCCCAAATATCCATCCTGTGCTTCTCTTGGATGTTGCTTCCCCAGTAACAGGAACAGTAAAGCTGTAAATCCACGATAGAGCAAACAGAATATCTAGGTAACCTAAAACTGGTGCTGGTTTACTTAAAATATTTTGTGCTGTAAATAAAAAAAAGTTGTTGAAGAGCAAGAATAAATAACATTTCAGCCTTCCTATTGCGAAATGGAAGCCTTTCAGACAAAGGAAGTGAAGACAGCAGAGAGCAGGCAACATCCCAAGTTTTCTGTACACAGCCCATGTAGTCCCACTCTTAACATCTTCCAGATTTATCAACCTAAGTCTGGAAGAAGAAGATAATATTCGGTCAGCATCTACCTTTTACTTATTTTCCTCCGGACTGCACCCCCCCAAAAGAGCCCAATGCAAATTCAGATACTGCCTCATTTCTGCTCCTTGTCTTACATGACAGGAGGACTTAGAGGTGGAAGGTCATCCTTATATCAAGCTCAAAGTCATTATCAAACTTTTTCATTAAGGATCAGTTTTGACCACAGTATTGACAGTGAGGATTTATGAAGGTCACACTACAGGAAAAAAAAATGTAGATATTATTTTCCAAATTTCTGTCAGAGAGACAGGGGAAAGGGTGAACACAAACAACAAAACTAAGACATTACGGGAAGCAATAACTGAGTTCAGTTAAGTCCATCTCTCAGGGAGAACACAGAAAAGTACATTATCTTCCTCATCCTTTAAAATAAGCTGTAATGAGTACAGGAAACAGCCAGCTGCTAGGTTTATTGTGACTTAGTGAGTCCGTATCTGGTAAGAGAGGGACCTGTAAGTCATGTGCAATTTTTCCCTCCCGGTTTAAAGCAACTTTCCAGGAAAAAGCACTTGCAAAACTCTGACATCAAATAGCACAGTTCAATGAATGAGAAAGGCGAGACAGAGGCTGGTTCAGTAAAGCATTTAATTATATATTAATTGCACAGGCAAAGAGTCTCCTTAACTCAGTGAGGGTAATTTTCTGTGCTTAAAGTTAAAAACTATCATTGATGAACCCAGGTCAGCAATTCTGCAGAAATGTAATGTAAAGTATCTACTAAAAAAGCTCTGTGCCTCATGAAGTTCAGATTGTCTGAAATCACGTGCTTGAACAGAAGGTTTTCAATGCAAAATCTACTAACTATTGATGGAAAAAATACTTTCCAACTATTTCCAGGTTCAATACCTTTCAATACACCACTGTGAATTGCTGTGGCTTTACAGTGACATTTCCTTGTTTTGAGAGTATTTTCTTCTCTTCACTGCAGAGCAAAATAGGCATCTATACAGCAGGTGAAATGGGTTATTGTGTAATTGCAAACAAATAAATGCCACTAAGCACATACAACAAGCAACCTAAAAAAATACAGATTTTTCTCTAATCTCTTACAAGGAATTTTTAGTCCAATATTTGGAATGGCCTAGTACTCTAAAAGATAAAGAACTTACAGTATACTACAGGGAGGTTTGCTGTTGTTGTTTTAAATAATCATACAATGCTGTCCTTTTAAATATTGCTTTTCTTGTTAGTAAGTGATCAGAGAGGGAGAAAAGGGTAAGGCAGAGTTTTTAGGTTTTTCTGAAATACATACCAGGTAGCGCTCGAATGAGCGGATCCCACCTGGAAGATATGCACTGCACTCTTTGGCTGCAGTGTCTGACCAGCGGGGCAAGATATTTTACTTCTGTCTCCCTTTTTCTTCCTTCCCTTTATCATCTCATAGAGAGCAAGCTATTTGAGATATGAATCATCTCCTCCACTAGAGCTTTTCAACTAAATAGATGTTTTAAGGAAAATGGATTGGGGAAAAGTTGACATTAAATGAACAAAAACCAGAGCTGTGCACGTAGAAGTATGTATCACCCTGTACAGTCTCAGGGCTCGTTCCCTCACTTATCCCATCCCCACCCAAGGAAAACACACAGGCTTGTGTGTATACTTATTCAGAAAGGATGCTTCTTTGCCATCGTCATTTCTTGTCACCATCTGTGCTTTTCATGCCAGAAAGGGGAGGGATGAGGCTCCCAACCTTCATTCCCTCACTTCCCCCCCCATTACCAGTAAGGCTGCTATTAGCCTGCTCCTCTTCAAAAGCATTTGCCCCCTTCCTCCTCCCTACAAAATAGCACGGGAAAGCTTGCAGACAACTTGTTGGCCCTTGCAGGCTGGATTTGAAGAGCTCTGCTCCACATAAGTCAGCCTTGATCTTTCTTGTCTCCTCTAAATCTTGTATCATAAAGGTAAAAATAAGGTTCTATGGCAGTAAGTAATATTTTAGATAAGGAATGAGTTTTGTCTGGAGAGTTACTTGAAGCCTTTTTGTAAATTAAGAATACAATCATTTTGGTATTATTTTACTGCTGCTTGAAAAGAAGCTGAATAATATTTTTTCATTTTTATCCCCACTGTTCTTGATAGCAACGAGCTGTTGTTCATCATGACTAACATACATCTTTCCCTGAATACAGTGTGCACAAAGTCTACCATTTGTTATATAAGAAGAAGAAAAAGGGAATACATTTTTTTTCACTCCAGAAGGCAAGAAATTTGTATCTGTAAAGATATGCTTAGTAAAATATTTCAGCAAATGAAAACAGAGAAGGTTGGCAGGTCTGTAAATCAATCTATAAAGTGCTAAACACTGGAAAACAACCCTTTCTTCTAAAGACGCTTTCAGTGCTCTGTGTGCCTAAAAATCAGACTGCTGTTATTCCAGCCATTCTCAGTCCCATGTTTCTTCAAAGTTCACACAGGCATACGCCACAGTGGAATTAACTAGAAGTGATGTACTGCATGAAGAAGTTAGGATCCCACTTCAGTATAATGTTTTCAGCATAAATTCAGATTTTCTCCTCTCCAATAGAAATTTAAAGTGTCCTCCGTCCCCAGATAGATTAGGGTCTAAGCGAATTATTAAGAGCTTGGCAAGGCTTCCTTCACTCTATATAGTATTTACTGAAATAATAATAGTTCTGCACAGGCATCATGCCGTAGGATTTCAATATATATCGAGTAAACTGTTTAACATTAAAGAGATTGCTTTTAATATTAACATATATGCCACAAACAATCTCAGAGAAGTCCAGAACATAAAACACGGCACTTGTATAACTTAATCCATTTTCTTCCCTGTAAATTTCCTACCAGGAGTTTTTAATCCATAAATCTGCATTTGTTAGCTTCTGCATACTGTCTCAGATCAGTCTTGTCCATGTGGCCATTGCATTAGACCTAACCAACTGCATAGGACTACCCATGAGATACGCTGTAAGGAAAATAAAAATTCTCCTGCTCCCAGAGAGTACCAGTGCTCAAGTTCCAAAATCAGCACTCGCTGCAGCCATTCAGTGTGATCATACTACAAATAAAAGGCACTGGCTGCAAAGATTTGAAAAGACTTACCACCAAGAGGTAACAACATTGTCATAATTTTACAGTTGAACAAACTAAAGAACAGAAGTGTTAAATGGGTCACATAAGCAGCAAACACCTTATTTAAGCAGCTGTTTTAGAAAGCAAAAAAAAAAAAAAAAAAAAGGGCAAAACAACCCCCCTCAGCTAAACACATCAAAAATATTCAACACAGCAACAGAGGAAGAGGGTTACACCCCTCATAAAACCACTTTTTACAGCATATATACTCTCAGAAACATGCATGGATATATAAGTAAGCATAAATGTGAGCACACAGAATAACTTATTTACAGGGAGGCACACAGGGAGCACACACGCAGGCACTTACTTGATCGATTTCCATTAACTTGGGGAAGGCACCTGGCCATTCTATCGCCACCTTCACTATATCAGCAGGAGGGGGCATTGCGACGCTGCTGTTCTTTGGAGCCGGAAAAACTGGACACTAAATACTGCAGAGAGCCGCTCTCATTCACACCTGCAGGGAGAAGGGGGAGAGAGAGAAAAAACAAAACAAAACAAAACAAAAAACAGCAGTTCAGACCAAACTCTAACATTGCCGTTTCATTTCCTACATTTCTGCCTGGCTGAGCAGGTGCATGAATATCTGTGTGTGTGTGTATGTGTGAGAGCACGAGAATCACACATATTCCAGAAGCAAACACAGGACACACTGCCACCACACACTGCACAGCTAGACGGTCTGTTAGAAAGATGGCTGAAGCACGGGAATGTACAGTGAATAATAGTCATGCATTAGATTTAAATAGAGAAATTATTTTTAAATATTATTGAATAAGCTGGTGGGCAAAAGCAACAAACTACAGGAAGCTCCTATTACAGTGTCACTCCTGGAGTCCCAGGGAACGTGAGTGAATAGGCTAGAGCTTGCACTCAGTTCTCTAGAAGAGATTGCCCAGGAAGTTATGGCCAGGAAACACTGTTTCTTTTAACTATAGCAATGATCTTCTATGTGTTCACAAATAGATCCCTGCACTATAGCAACCAGGATGTCAGGAAGAAGGCAGAACACACAGCAGTTTCCACATATACACACACATACTTCCTCACCTAACTGATTCAGAGATACCCATATATAAATACTTCTTTACGGCAAACCTCAGACATGAATATGCAAAGATACAATATACATTTACAGTGATGCAACCAGACAGCTACATAAAGCATCATAATCCTGCAAGAACATTACTATCAGCAGAATCTCATGTCAGACCATGCAGGCTACGAATTTTTGGGAAGAGAAGGAAGGAAAGGGGGAAGAGCTCAGTCCTCATGTTTTGCAGAACTTAAGTTCTGTAACGTTTGGGTCACAGAAGTTTGTAACCTCGCAATGACAACAAACATTATTCAAAAAGGCAGAACAACCTCCCACACGTCTCTCTCGCAGCTTAAGGGCAGCAGGACACTAGCAAAGCTCTCCAATTCCCAGGCACAGCAGCCCATGCACCCTCCTGCAGACTGACAGCCCTACTTGCTTTACCAAGTCCTCTCTTTAGGTTCCCCATGCATCCTGCTGAGAACTAACCGAACACTGACACGTGTGCCAAAATGAAAGAAACTGTGGAAGTCCCCAGGGGGCAGCCTCACTTCTCAGCAGAAAAGGAAAGGAAGTGGTGAAAGCCTGGACACATGCTTGCACATACACACCATTTGAATGAGCTAAGGAAAGATACAAATAGATAAGAGTATGTCAGACATTCAAAAGCCACAAACAAGTATAAAGGAGGAGTCTCTGACCGCCTTCAGTTGCAGGTTCATAATCAGCTTGACCCAGACTAACTGTGGTCCCTTCATCTCCAATTGCAGCAGAAGCATGAACTCAGGTCAGCCTGAGGAAAATCATGAAACCACCCTTTCATCAAAAAACGTGGTACCCTCATGTTCTACTACCTCTAAATGGGTGTTAGCCCAGCCTTCGTACATATGGATTCACTTTTTCCATTTGCATCTTTTAGTCATTTCCGAAAAAGCTGAGTCCTCCACGTTTGCAAGCCCTGCTACACTCTGTATAGCGTTGTGAACGCATCCTGACAAAGCATTTTATGAACTTTAACACTCCAGCAATTTATTTCCAACAATGGCAGTTCTGACGCTGACAGCCTCACGCACCACCACAAAGCAAAGCGCAAGGCAGTAAAAAAGACAATGCATTAAGCGCAAGGCAGTAAAAAAGACAATGCATTTAACTGGATTGCAGGAAGTGCCTTGAAAGACACAATAACATGATGAAGAAATGTAGCGAAACTTTCTACATTGGTATACAAACAGAAACATTTGGTAGATGTTACAGAGACCGAAATTAAACACAACTAAGACAGGCAACTGGCTTGCTGGTGGTTAAGAAGAGTCAGACAGCTGCTTTTGGCTGCAGTTTCCCATTACAGCGTGAGCGAATGAAAGGCCCCGCCATCCCTCCCCTACCATCTCACGCTCCCACCAGTTGCATCTCCCACAGGCTCTCCTCTCACCCACAGCACACTGACCCAACTTAGCCCAATCAGCCCAGCAAAACAGCTTTTTCTGTTAGACTTAAGAGTATGGCAGAAAACCTAACGACTTCGTGGGATGCCACAACTTGGCAGAGGAGGGAAGAAGCAAGACTGGCTGGCAGTGACGAGCTGTTAATCCACCTTGACAGCAAAATGAAACCAAGACCTCAGCACACATGCAGGGGTGGTTAAAAAGGCCCTTCAGGGCTTTCCTCCCTCTGCCGTTTTGCTCCCACACTCACAGCGAGGGTATTTCCCACCTCTGCAGCGGAAATTGTCCTCCACAGCCAAGTAGTCCTCAGTAGTTTCACATACATTTGGCAACTTTTTGGTATTGAACTGCAATGCTTAAGTTGAGTTGGTTCACTCAGCGTGCGGTTGACAGACTTCTCCCTGCGTGCCCTGGTCAAGTACAGGAACCGCTGGGAACTGGCGGAGGCCTGAACTAGAGTCTGACTTTACTGGCCATAAACTAAAAAGAACAGCAGTTTCTGTCAGACAGACTTGGTTTAAGTTTGCTTCAGATGAGTAAGTTCTTATTTTCAACTACTTTACTTTCCCACCCCTCCATGTCTGGTTTTTTATTTTTTTAAATTAGAACTACAAGAATTATCTGCGTGCTCCATACCGAAAGATAGAACTAAGGGCTTACAAAAAGCCATATAGTCAAGTGAGAAAAAGAAAAGGTAACTTTCACTCCAGCATCTCCCCTAGGGGCAAAGCTAACTAAAACTAGCTATGAATGCTAGGAAAACTTCAGTTCACAACTACTGGCCACGACTATGAAGCAAAATCACATCATGCAGCAACACACTTGCAGAAAACTTTCATTATCACATATACATGTGGGCATTAACCCTCATTTTACTTTAGTGAGTTGTAATCCATCTTAAAATCTCATGCAGGAAGAAAGAAATGGCTTAAAAATGAACAGTCAGGGAAAGTTAACTGCAAGTTAATCAAATTCAGCTACGGAAAATAAATATTTGCACCCCCAAGCATGGTACAAGAGAATTGTGCCATAACATTTAGAAGAAAATTTGTGTGACTTTTTTTAAATATATACACATTAGCATGAAAGAGCTCCTATACAATTATAATTATTAATACATGTACATGTATACCGTTTTAAAAGACTATGAAAAGTGACAGATCTTTAACTAATATAAATGGATGTAGATCACCTTCTCCTACTGGTAGGAGACCATCTTAGAAACACCGTAGCGTAGTCCGAATGCTGAGAAGCGTACCTAAGATTCTCATAAGTTTCGTTTCTTTTTGCTTTTCAATGGACATCGTAGTCAAATGCGCTCGGACTTGGTTTTTTTGGCTTTTATCCTCATGAATTCAGGACCTAAAATACAATTGGATTCCATCCTACCTATGTGACAATGCAAAAAAATACCACCTTTTTAGGCCAAAATAGATGTTTAGTTGTCATCATCAAATTATGATCGCAAAGAAACTTCTACAACCTACAGGGCTGACAATTACGAATTAACTCCTGTTTATTCCCATGGCATGCAGTACATTATGACACTGCCCCATGTAAAGAGGAAGGCATAGTTCCTGGTGTGAAATGCTCCCAATGTAGTGAGTAATTCTCATGACATGCAAGAAGAACTAGAACCAAGCTCAACTGTTCTTTGTTGTGCTGGCAACAGTTAAACAGCAAAAAGGGAACGGACATCACTACAGGGTCTAGTTAGGCAGTTTTCTTGAGCGTGGCTCTCTCTTCTTTCCTGGGGGACCTGAGAAGCACCCCTACGCAAGAGCAACTACTCACTTCAACAGTGTTTGTTTTCAAGGTAGATTCTGACAGGATGTGTGTGTGAGTGCATGAAGTGGAGGATGGCTCTGAGGAAAAGGAAGGCCGCTATTATTTTCCCTAATGCACACTCGCAGCTGTAACCTGAAGAACACTTAAGCAACTTCCACACTCAGCAGCACATTATTTTATAATTTATCAGAAGAACAACCAAACCAAAAGCCACACTGGAGTACACTTTCCTGCATCAATATGGTCTTCAAAACTATGACAGATTAGCCCAGTAAAGTGCAAATTCTGACAGTTATTGCTACACCACATACAGTATATTCCTGCATTTCAACCACTCTATACAGCTTCTTCCAATGATCTAGGTCAGAGCAATTAACTCTCAGGTTGGAAATCAAAAGCTCCAATTGAATGCAAAAAAATGCATCAACACAGACGCTCAGGCTCCTAAATTACCTGCCTGGCTCATGATTAATTCAATACATGAGTCAGTAAAACATTTAATTTTCCCCTTAAATGTATAATCTATACCCATGCATTGCACATGAAAAACAAGAATTCATTTGTGTATGGAATGAGTTGTCCCAGTAGCACACTTTGTTTGTTTGCTTGTTTTACAGTTCCACTGGCACTTTCTATACAAGGATCTCAAAGCACTTGAATAACTAATATTTATAGCTACCAGAACATATCTCTAAGAAACAAAAAATAAATTAAAAAAAGGTATTCTTAGTCCACAGAAAAGGAAAAACTGAGGCTACAAGGAATTGTATGACTAGAAGTTATAGTCCTATATGAAAATAAGAGCCTGCAAAAGCACATTCTTTTACAGAGGAGGAGAAATGTAACGTTCAAATGCTAGGCCAGGTCATTTCACAAATAGGAAAAGTCAGAAAGTGAACGGTTAAAAAAAAAAAAAAAAAAAAAACACACACTACCAAACACCAGGTGCGCCTTTGAGCATTTTATAAAGCCCAGCATGTGTTCCTCCTCCCTGGCTACCATGCAGCACCCATAGGAATCACCTGGAGCAGGCACGCTTCAACCCTCCACACTCACAGGAAGGCCTTCCCGCAGCCCTTCTCCAGGGCAGCCACGGCGGAAGCAGCCACACAAAGAACGGGAGGGTAACGCAACTCTCAGCTGCACTGCGCGCATAATGCGGCTGACAGCAGAGAGCTGAACCGTGCC